TGCAGCGAGAGGCTACCGACAGTGAGGGGCGTGAAGAGAGCCATGCGTGCAAAGGCAAAGTGAATGTCCGAGCTCACACCATGGAGCACGGCGCCAGCTCACGGCGCGTGCTGTCGACCCACCATATGGCAGAAGGTTGGTAATCAAAAGGGCAACTTGGCTGCGGTTGGCGACGAACGCGGCTTCGGTGGTCGCCGCATCGACCAACGGGCGCGCTCGACGTCGCGGCGACGCTCGACGAGACTCTGTGGTTGGCGTAGTGCATTGCTGACGTCGGTGCGCGTGTCTACGGGTCCGATGCGGAGCCGCCTGTGAATCAGATGCAGCACAAGCACTGGCGCCTTGTCGCCCTCACGCTCTACGTACGACTCGTGTTCGAGGATGACGACGGCGGCGTAGAAGCGACGCGTCCGAAGCGCCTCGGAAGCGCAAGCAGCAAGGTTGAGGTGCTTACACAGTGGGCGAAATGCCTATGACCTAGAACTACGGCCTGTGTGGTCAAGCGGACAATATATTGTATATCTACAATATATTATTGTATTGTGGTAATTGTATTGCGAGTGGAGTGATGATATGGAAATAAAGTTGCGTGTTCGCAGCCGTTATTCGGTATCTTGAAAAGGCGCGGGACCATGAGCTCGACGGGCGCCCCGCGGGCGTCGACCAAGAACATTGGTGCGAGCAAGAAGATCGCGGGCTCCAAGCTGCGCGCCAACGAGGCCGCGTCCCGGTCGCGCGTCATTGGCGCATCGCAGCTCTCGCAGTCGAGTCGCAAGGTCGCGGGCGGGAGCGGAGCTGGCGGCGGATCGCAAGCTGCGCAAGTATACCTCGATGGCGTCAACGTGACGCCGCAGTCGCTGCTCTTCACGCGCATCAAGACCAACGACAAGACGACGCGCCGGGCCAAGAAGGCGGCCGACGACAGCGCGAGTTCATCGAGTTCGTCGGTGGTTGCGTCGGGCGAGCCCGAAGCGGCGCCCCCCGAACAGGCCAAGACGCTGGATGCGATCCTCGCGAGCGCGCCACCGACAATGGCGGCCAAGCCCCCGGTGGTGGCCAAGAAGCTCGAGGCCGACGACGGCGACGGCGACGGTGGCCTCGTCTCTGGCCTCGACGATGCCATGGAGGCCGTGCCCACCAACGGCCAAAGCAGTGAGCGGTGCGTGGCCGTAGCGGTATCGACAGACGCAGCAATCTCTTTCTCTAGGAGAGACCGGTCGGAGGAAGCGCCCAAGAAGGTTGTCTCGGGGCCCGTCACGATCCTCTTCTCCGAGACACCAACGATCATGCTCTTTGAGCTCCTCAGTGTCTGCGTTGGCCAAGATACGCCCGTGCACGGCGTGATTGTCACCAAGAACAAAAAATACCTCGAGGTACTAGGACAATGTCCATATTGTCCAAGTTGAAACAGACAATATGGTAACTAGATGTGCAGTGGAAAAAAAGGCAGCGACAACTACATCGAGAACCGGACGCAGACGCTGCAGCTCGCTCAAAAGACAAAGGAGGTCATGACCGCGCCGCCCGCAACCCGCGACGTGTCGTGCAACGCGACCGATTGGGACATTTTCGACTGGTGCGACTTGACACCTTGATAGATTTGTGCTAACTTGCCAATATGTTAGCGCGCAAACCAACGACGAAGTGCAAGGCAACGAGCACGACGACGGCGCGGACCCGTCGCGCCCTAGTAAGACGCAGCAGGACGCAGACAACGTCGACGCGCAGCTGGCGCGCCAAGTGGATGAAATTGTGAATGCGAGCTTGGCCTCGCCCGGCTGTCTCCTCGCAGTCGACGGCGCCGACGTGATCTTGGACCTCAAAGCCCGGCAACGCACCTTGGGCAAGCCGAAACCGAGTACACCGGGGCACCACGGCGCGGCCGGCGGTCCGTGCACACTAGTGTCTTTAGTTGAAATTGCACTTTCTCTCTAGGCGCGCACGATTCAAAGGCCAACTTTTCGCGCGTCTCCAAGGCCGGGAGTGGCGCGTCGTCGACGAGCAACTCGCAAGTGCTGCGTCGGCCGGGGCAGAGCACGTCAACGGCGGTGCTCTCGACCAACGACATCAACAACAACAGCGGCGACATCTCCAACAGCGGCAGCCAAGCCGATATGATTTCGCGGAGCAGCACCAACTCGGACGGCAACTCGCACGACGGTGGCAAGCATGAGAATGCGTACTCGGCCGCCAACACCAACGTCGACCTTGGCGAGATCATTGCAAGCCAGAAAACCACCAAAGTCCTCGCGTCCTCGGCGCTCGACAAGCTCCTCAAGGTCCTCGAGCGCGCGGTGCAGCAGAACGTCTACCACGACCGACACCTCTTGTACCGTAATTTCCCAACCTTGTCGATCGACGCACGCAAAACAACGCCGTCGACGCCCGGGCTCGCGCCTCCCAAAAGCGCCGTCCACGCCGCGCCGTACGAGCCGGCCGAGCTCGAAAAGCTCTGGGGCTTTCGCTGCAGCTTGACCGACGGCCGCACCGTTTCGTGTCTTGTCTGTGCTTTTGCTCTTATCGCGGTATCTGACGCAAGTCGTTAGGCGTGGAACCCCGTCAACGACGACCTTCTCGCCGTGTCGTACGGGCAGTTTGAAGCCGGGGACACCACCGACGGCCTTGTGCTCTTTTGGTCGCTCAAGAACCCCGAGTTCCCAGAACGTGTTTACGTGCTGCCGTGCGGCGCCACGTCGATCGACTTTAGCCGCAGCCAGCCGTATATGCTCGCAGTCGGCTTCCACGACGGCGTTGTCGCACTCTACGACACGCGCAAGGACGAGACCGACCCGGTTCTCACTAGCGAAAACAACAACGGGTCGCATCTCGATGCCGTGTGGCAGGTATCCATCACATTATGGACAAGGTGTCCATTTTCTAGACTAAACGACTAGGTCAAGTGGGTACACAAGGGCAGCGAGCGGGGCGAAAACATTGTGTCGATATCGAGCGACGGGCGCGTGACCGAGTGGAGCATGAAGAAGGGCTTGAGCTTCTCGGACCTCATGACGCTCAAGCGCGTACCCAACCCGCTCTTGGGCAGCGAGGCGCGCATCGACGGTGTTATTGCGCGCCAAGCGAGTGGCAACTGCATTGCGTTTGCCGAGCACGACAGCTCCGTCTACTTTGTGGGTACCGAAGACGGCAACATCCACAAGTGCTCGTGCTCGTACAACGAGCAGTACCTCGAGACGTACTTTGGCCACACGGCCGCGGTCTATGCGGTCCAAATGTCGCCGTTCTGGAACGAAGTCTTCCTCTCGTGCTCGGCCGATTGGAGCGTCAAGCTGTGGCACCACGGCGAGTCCCACGAGATGCTCAACTTTCGATCGGCGGACCTCTTCCACGGCGTCTATGGCATTGGGTGGTGCCCGAACGACGCGACGATCTTTGGGAGCGTCACGGAAGACGGCCGCATCGAGATTTGGGATCTCCAGCAGTCGATTCTGGACCCGATTTTGACGCATTTTCCAAAGGACGACGTGAGCTTGAAGTGCACGTGCATCTCGTTTGCACCGTCGTCGCCCGTCCTTGTCGTCGGCGACAGCACGGGCGAGGTTGGCGTGTACCGCGTCCCGATCCTCGCCGAGGGGCGATGCGATGGCATGAGCGTCGACGAGCAGATCGAGCGGCTCCAACGTGCCGTGACGCCGCACCAAGTGACCTAAGTGCCGTAAGAGAGATGATTTGTACAGATGGGGAAGACAGCGAGAACGTTCCGGACTGCCACCAGAGCAGTGCATCGCTGTGTAAGCAATATTTGTTGAAATGAGTTATTAACATGCAATTATATAGTGAAGATGGTGGACTTCCTAGTGCGCTCGTGAGGTTTGGCCGGTACGTCAAGCTGAGGGCGCTTGGTCGAGGCTCAATTTGAGTTGGGAATGAGGTAGCGAGCACACCAAGGGTCGGCGCGTAGGGCATGGAGCGACTCGTCAAGCGAAGGCACCACGGCGCGGCGAGCTGTGTGAGCAATATTGAACCAGATTGTAGAACCAGGTGCCCAGAGCTGGTGCCCGGCAAAAGGCTTCGTCGTCTTCTCGCGTTTCTTCGTGAAGGCGAACAGGTTGATGGCCAAGGAACGTTGGCTGCTGGAACTTTTGAAACAAACCAGCTCGTTTCGAACACGACACTGCAATCGAACTTTGTGCAAAGCAACAGCTTGCGACGCTATGGTTGATCGTTCGTTCGTTGCTCGACATTTTCGGGCGCTACAGTATTTTCGACCTCCGCACCACTGCGTGAGTGTTTGGAATAGAACAGCGATCCTGCCACCCGAATCTTCTCGGAAGACGAGGCTGCTATGAGTCGCTCGAGGCGTTGGGTGTTGCCGTGGTTTGCCCTTGCCGATGGCGCCTTGATGGCCAGCAATCTGGCGTCAGAAGGAAGCAATAAATTCGACGATCACCTCTCCGAGCCAGAAGGTGCAACCCAAGGAGCTACTCAGTGTACCACGGGCGGTGCGTTTGCTCGAGGTAGTACACTGCACTGCGATGGCCTTTCGAGGAGAACGATGGGCGCGCTGGGAGCTATCAGCGCTGTGCGCGCGCTACTTTACACAGTACCCCGCCACACGACTTGACTGCTTGCGCACGTAATCGTCGCTCGAGTAGCTTGCCGGCACGCATGCATACAAACCTGGTCGGTGCGCTGCGCCTATCACTGTTGACGCGTCCTGAAATCAAGGTACACCGTAATCGCGCAAACCCACCTTTGTTGTCCTTGCCAGTGATCCATGCGTGGAGTTGCAAGAATCAAGTTTGCTCATGAAGTACGCTCTCGTAGCTGCTCTTGTGTGTCGCGAGGAAGACAAAGAGGTCAAACCCGCAACAATTCCTTGGCGGCCACGCCACCGAACCAGAATCAGCAGCTCGCGAATTGTACTTTTCTTGTTCTGTGCGGTTGCGTAGGTTCGGTAGACTCTGTGAACCAAACATTCAAGTCCATTTTGGATTTCTTTTTTGTGCCACTGGAGCCAGCACGTGGTCGGAAAAATGGACGGCTGGCAGTGTACCACATGTTTTCAGTGGAATGATGGCTCGTCCTCAGGCGTCTCGAGTGCCAACAGTGCGTGCAAACAACGACGACGACGATGACAGTGCGCCCAAACGACGTAGTACATATAAGGTGCTGCCACGAGATGGTGCAAAGAGCGATGTCCTTTCTGTGCCGTCGCGTCGCTACGACGGCCGCGATATGTTGTTCTCGACGAATCCTGTTCGGCGTTGATCTTTTCAGAGCACTGGTGCGAATAGCGTTGGCCCCTACGACGCTCGGAGCCTCTACTCCACCAACGATGACTACATATCGACGTCCTTAGCGGAAAAGATTTGAGGATGGGCTTGCACGTGTATGCACGAAAGAAACAACATGACATCCGCTGCATTACGCACAGTGCAGCTAGCGGGCGGGAGCGGTTCTATCCTAGTGATTGGTGGCCGCCACTTGACCATTGTCTGGACCCTGGCAATACAATGTTGCGTGCATCTTGGCGGGAAGACTAACATGCATGTGATAGGAAATGGGTGCAACGCTACGTCCACGCGCGACCGCTACACGCCTGCCAAGCATCCGTGCTATCCATCGAGCCATCGTCATAGCATAGTTACAATCTGCATAGACACTCGAGACTTGCGTCCTGCTCACGTGGCGTCCGCGAAATAAGAGCTCGGGTGAATCTGTGGCTCTTGTTGCGGCAGCTGTAGAAGCGCATGTCTGTCCAGCTGCCTCCATCACTTGGGCACAAAGCCACGCAAGGCGCCACTAGCGCAGAAGGAGCAGCGGTGGGAGGACGACGTTCGTTGCAGGTACACTGGGCGATGGGACGGTGTCGCCTGTCCTGATGTCGCGTCCGCTTCAAGGTTTGTAGAATTGTTTGTGGCTACTCGTCGCCGCCGTCGAGTCATACGTGGCACGTGCATCTTCTGTGCTACCGTGCAGTACACTGCAGATTGGCACGGGACAGTCAAAAGAAGGGGCTTTTCCCATATGCGCAGCGAGGTCCGAGGCAAAACGCGCCACTTTGCCGTTTGCTCAAATTCGCTCATGCAAGTACAGTCCCGCATGCTGGGTTAGTCATCGCGGGTCCTTTCTATCCAGTCTGTCCGCGTTGGTCGTCTTGGCGTAGAAGCGGGTGGGCGCACTTGTTAAGCGAATTCGCAACCACCCGCGCGCGTGGCGTTCGTTTTCAGCGTCGCCGAGGTTTGAACCGATGGTAATTCGATGTAGTAACTGCGCATCCACGGACTCGACGCCGCGACGATGATGATACGTCCTCTCGTGACGGAGGTGGACGCAACACCCAGGCATCCAGGATGTTCTTTTGCAGTCTCGCACCAGATTTGCTTCCGAGGCGAGCGGCCACCCACGGTGGCTTTACCCAATGTTGCCACCAACCAGCTGGCGTCGTTCTTACGTACAACGCTGCGTCCTTTTCTCGGGCGGCAGTTGTGATTTTGCGCCGTACCCCGCATGAGCATGGCCCATAGCGCCAACAGCAGCACGGCAAGCAAGGCGTCCGAGACGACCAGTAAGGTCTGGCTCTTTGACGAGAAGCAGCTCGATGACTACACCGTCTTCCACGACAGCTCGACGCACTACGACGAGAGCATGCTCGACAAGACGGGCGACGGTGCGCTCCGCGAAGGTGGTGCCATCCACCTTCTCAGTTCCGAGGCCCTCGGGCTCTTTACGCAGTACGCCGGCATCGGCCTCATCCTCGGGACGCTCCCAGCCTTGGCGTACCCGCTCTACAACGTCTACCTGCAGATGCAAGGGTACCAAGTGGCGTCCTACTCGGCGCTCATGAGTCTGCCATGGAGTCTCAAGATCTTTATGGGCATCATCTCCGACTGCTTTCCCATCAATGGCTACCAGCGTCGGTCGTACATGATGATCGGGTGGGTCCTCTGCGCCGCGAGCTGCGGGCTCATGGCGGCCACGTCGTTTCCGGCACCATACTATGGCCGCAAAGACCTCGATGGCCTTCCGCTCGCCAACATCTCGGCGCACGACAAGGCCAACTACATCAACGCGAGCGCGCCCAACAGCGGCGGTCTCTTCATTTTGCTCTCGACGCTGGCGACCGTGGGCTCGGTCATGGTCGCGGTCTCGTCCGAACCCATCGCGCAGCGTGGCCGCATTCAGACGACGTGCTATGTGGTCCGCGACTCGTTCCGGCAAATTCCGGCGCTGCTCGTGGGCTTTTGCATGAACAGCTACCAGTACGGCGGGTCGTTTGACTGGTCGATCACGCCGTCGGTCGTCTATGGGATTCTGGTCGTGCCGTCGCTCCTTGGCCTCGCCGCCTCGATCTGGTGGATGGTCGAAATCCGCGTCGAGCGCGTCTCGCTGCGCCACTACTTTCGAGGCTTTTGGCAGCTCGTGCAGCTCCGCGTCATGTACCAATTCTGCGCCTACAACTTTTTCAGCAACGTCTTCTCGTTCTTTGACGAGACCGTGAGCAGCCCGATGACGTCCGACTGGGTCCAAGCCGAGTCGCTCAACATGCAACTCTTCTCGCTCGTCGGCGGTCTCTTTGGTCCTGTGACGATGTGGGCCCTCGGCAAGTACGCGCTGCACTGGGATTGGCGCTCGTCGATTGTCTGGTCGAGCATTCTCTGGGTCGCAATGCGCGCGCTGGTCCAGCTCACGTGTGTTTGGGGCGTCAACCGCAACCAGTATGCGTTCCTCACGGGCACGATGCTCATGGACCAGCCGATGAACGTTCCTTTCCTCTTCTCCGCCTACGCCAGTGTCGAGATTGCCGACGTTGGTAACGAAGGGCTCATCTACTCGCTCACGTCGTCCGTCTCAAACCTCGGGTACCTCTTTGGCCCTGTCCTGTACAAGACGGTCGACTCGTTCTTTGACGTGTCGCGGGACGACCTTCGGCGCGACGACGCGACCGTGCGCTGGCAGGCGACGTACTGTTTTTTGATTTCGTACACGGTCAAGCTCGCTGCGCTAGTCTTCCTCGTGCTCCTCCCCCGCCAAAAAGGCCATGTGCAGCTGCTCAAGCGTCGCGGGGAGTCGAGTAAGATTGGCGGTGCCGCCACCATCATTGGCTTCATCCTCGTGCTCATTTACGCCCTCGTGACGAACGCGCTCTCGTTCTTCTCGTCAACGTACTGCCTCCGGATTGCAGGCGGCAACGGCTGCGTGTCGTCCCCAGAGTAGATGTCTAGTGTCGAGTCGTTGATATATAAGTATACGAACATGTGAGGTTCGAACATGCGCGCTCTGTTTACAGTGTGCATCGCTTGGTCGCATGGAACGTTCTGCACCACCCGTTGCGCCGTGACTAGGGTCTAGGGGAGCGAAAGAGCCGTTTCCTCCGTGGCGCAACGAATCTGAGTTTGTCGGATATCTCTGCAATTTGCGACGCGGCGCCAAAGGTCGTCGACGCGAAATCACTTGGTGCCGCCACTGGCCACTGCACCGTGGTGCAAGACGCATACCGCAGGATGATGACGGCATCCTCCCATCGAGTGACAACCTTTTCGGGTCGGGAGCGCGGAAGAAAATGCCGTTTCTACCTTGCGCTGGCACCGCAACCGTGCGTGGACGCAAGTGATGGTGGGTGGTGGCGAGATCGCCACGTCTTCTTTTTTCTCAATTCGACGTGGCTTCCTCGACGCTGGCTATCGAAAGATATTTATCTAAACCGAGGCGGAGGACTCTGTCACCGAGACGACGACGACAAAGGGCTACTGAGCGAGGTATCTGCGACAGGAAACCCAGTGCAAGTGGCGCCGTGCCCTCTCGCTCGGAAGCGCACTCGCACGATGGTGAGCGCGGTGACGTACTTCAGAATGTCGTTGTGCAGAAGCGTAGGTGCAGTGCTGGCAAGATGCCACTGTTCCCATCTCGCCGAACCAGCGGCAAGGAAACCTCCTTGCCAATGTAGTGTGGCACACGTCGTGAGCAACGCCGTGATAACGGTGGCGACGACCTTCCACGGCAAAAGTCGAAACAAGGCCGGCGACGATCGAATCAACCTCGTCTGGCCACATGCCACATACACAGCCCAAGCTCTCAGATGTATTTATGCACGGATGGATACATCAATGATGTACGTACGGGCACGGTGCATGGTCCAACGTCTAGTCAAGCGGTAGGATATACAGCCACTGGCGCCAGATTCTCAGTTTGCATACAAACGGCAAGTGCAATCTGGGCGGAGAGGCTACTATTTCTGGGAGCCTTATTTGCCGGCCCCAAGCGCGATCGGGAAATGGAAAGATCTGAACTCTACCGAAACGGACCCGTCGCGCGATGCATCTCTTACACCTCAGATCCCAACCTGCGCCGTCCTGGACAAGTACCACAGCACCATCATGTTCAACCTCCCGACTGCGGCCACGTCCTTCCGGCACCTCATTGGCACTGCATGCAGCAGCCCGACGGCGTCGATGACGTCAGAGGACGATGTGCCCCGCACGTACCCGCGGGCCGACTTGACGTCGCTCCTCACCAAGATGTCGCCGCCGCCGCAAGCCGCGTCGCCCGAGATGAAGTGCCAGTACAAGACGGGCACGTGCACCAACATGCGCACGACCAAGAAGAACGGCAAGCTCCTCATGCTCTGCGAGCTCCACCGGCGCAAGCAAAACGAGATCAAGAAACGCAGCGACCGCAAGCAGAGCGCGATGCGCATGTCGCGCCGCCTCGAGGCCAAGATCAAGTCGTCGTCGTCGGCGTCGTCGTCGTCCCAGGACGACTACTCGAGCGACGAGAACGCGCTCCGGCGCAAGTTCAAGCGCAGCGCGCTTGACGTCACCACGTCCATGGAGGCGTACCCGGTCAAGAAGCTCAGCGCGTGGGACCATTCGCACCACCACCACCATCATCATTCGCACCACCACCACAGCCTGCACCACGACGGCGCGCTGCCACACCTCTCGGCACTCACGCTGCCGCGCGTGAGCGCGTGGCGGACAAAAGATGGCATCGCCACCAGCTCAACCAGCTCGGGCACCTCGTCGGCGCCGACCACGACGCAGTACTCGAACGAGTTTACCAGTCTCCTCTCGCACACGAGCTTCTTCGCACCCGATTGGAGCCCGCGCGCGCCGCTGCCGAGCCTCACGCCGACCAACAACGGGCCCGTGCGCGGCCACGACCTTGCGATGCTCGAGTTCTTCCTCGACGACTAAACCCCGCCCTCTCCGTCGTGTCGTCGTTGCCTCGCCCTCTTCACTCTTTTCGCTTACTGTTAACTTAATTTCGCTGCACTTCCTTCAACTCTTTAGTCGCTAGTCTCCTACTAGTACTACAAGTCTCGTCCCAAGATGGTCAATGTTGTCGCAGGAGCACCTGAGAACGCGCAGAGACTCAGACGGCGGCGTGGACGCTCGGTTCTGTCCCACGCGCCGGGACAGGCGGCAGAGATTCGATCGATGGGTGCAGGCTACTGCTCGAGTCTCCGCGGTATGGGCTCCCACAAGATTAGTCAGTCGTATGTACGCTCGTTCGATGCCATTAAATACAAACACACGCGCTTCACTCGTAGTCGGACTCTTCGTTGGGCATGTTGAAGCGTCGTCGCTTGGCCGCGGGCTCGGGCGAGAACGACGTGCTGTGGGCGCTGTGGGCCTTCATGATGATGATCGCGAGCGATGGGCACTGCTGGATCTCGTGGCAAAAGGCGTCTTCGTCGACAATGTCTTGCATGTTTTCCACAATGTGCTTGACGCACGAGTCCTTGAGGAACTGCGCGTTGTAGCGCTCGGCGGCGCTGAGGAGCTTGGCGCAGTGGTCGTTCGAGATGAGTTCGACGGCCGCGGCTTCGCAGAGCTCCTTCATCGTGCGCAAGAGGTACTGTTCGGCGAGCGCGAGGAGCTCAATGAGTTGCTACATGTTGCAGTTTGTGAGGCGACAAGCCAGGATCTTATGGAGTCGTACCGTCGCCGTGAGCATGGCGAGATCGGCGATCCGGTTCGTGTAGATGAATTCGAGGAGCCGGCGGACCATGTCCGGGCAGTCGTCTCGCAAAACAACGACGCCGTTCTCGCTCTCTCGCATCGAGTCTGATCTAAGCATCGCGTTAAAGACTTCGCAGCGCGTCGTCAAAATGAGCTTGTGGCCGCGAAGCTCCTTGGCATCCGCGCCAACCCGCAACACCACGTCGCTATTGTCGCCACTCTGCACGCGCCACGATAAAGCCCATGCATATAGGCAGCGGACGTTTACCTCGAGGAGGCGACGCATCGACGTAAAGTACTCTTCGTCCGAGAGGCGAGGTGGTGGGACAATGGCCAACGGGCGGCGGTGGCGCACGTGGATCACGTCGTTCTGCGCATGCCACGTCGTCGTCAATACTGGCATGCATAAACGCGGTCTGTACCTTTTGCAGGTGCACCGACTCGGGCGAATCTTCAAGACTGAGGAGGTTCTAAACAGGCAGGCGTCGGCCATGCGCCAGGTCAGGAAGGCTACCATGAAGCAAAAGTCCAGCGACTCGCGGGGCAGGCCATGGTGCTTGCTGTAGTGGCGGAAGAGCGACGAGAAGCGCTGCGTCTTCTGCATCAAGCACGAGTACATGTTGTTGGCCGGAACGCGGACCACGGAGCGCTCGGTGCCCGAGAGAACCAGGTCTTCCACGGCCTAGCGCTGCATGTTCATGCAGGTCCATGGAGCCATGCGTCTACCTTGACCGTGAACTCTACATTGTCTCCTCGCACGTTGCGGTTCATGGCTCGGGTATCCGCCAGGCGTCGCGTTCGGAAATGGCCCAATTCGACAAAAATGGACCAATCCGCGGCCGGCGCGCATGCATTCTGAGAGGTTTGAATAAAAATGCGCTGATTCGAAGGCCGACGCTGGGAACGCACTTGCCATTGGTATGGTCAGGCTGTATAATTAAATTAACGGCGGTGCTGGCACTCCAACAAAAAGCTTGTGAAACATGATACTGTTACCGCACGCCGATTGGAGAACAATCGACTGTGTTTTAACCAATCCCCACGCGACAATGTTGACGCGCGATGTCGCTTGGACGGAAATAGTGTGCTTTCATCGATATTCGAATGGAAATGGACACTGATAGTCTTGTGGTCCCAAATGGCTCTGCCTGTACCATGGGGCAGGCTACCGACACGGCAAAAATCGCAGTGTTTAGCGCAGCAAATGCCCCGTCAATCTCACAACGCTTGGCGTCCATAGTAAAACGGCGAGGTAGAGACACCATGGCTGGTGGATCTCTGCGAAATCTCCAGCTCCATTCACCTCCGTGGAACGGACGTTTGGGTCGCGGACGTACTATCTCTCCATCTGGAGCTTTTCGTGTTCTGACGTTGCAGGAGTATGAACGTGATGTCAATGCATCAACTCCAAATCCATGGCCAACACTCCTCCCGCAGTGTCGCTTCAACAGTGGCTGATCCGGCCATGTCAATCACATCAGACGATGACGTCACAACCAAGTCCTTGCTATCGTCTTGTACAAATGGCGACTTGATTGCCTGCGAGATAGCTTAAAGTCACGTACATTGACGGCTGTTGCATCCCTCGATGTTGATCGAATCTCGGGCGATTACAGTCGCTTTGGCACGGAAATAGTCTTACCAATTCGAACGCCGACCACCTCGCTTTGATTGGTTAAAAAGAAGAAGCCCATGGCACATACCGCGTCCTGATTGGCTCCTTTCAAGCGTGCTTAGCGGGATGGGCCATTGCCCAATTTCGCTGCGATGGCCGACGCCAAGACCGGCCCCAAGGCCATGTTCCCAGGCCCGCAGTACGAAGACGCACCGACGCTCCCGGGCAAGTTCGCCGGCGCCATGTACGTCGTGATCATCATCCTCATGACGCTCGGCTTTGGCTTCTACATCGTCGTGCCCACGCTGCTGCTGCTGTCCTGGACGTGCCCGACGGTCGCCGAGCACATCTACCGCGTCGTGCTGGGGCTCTTCTGCGCCACGGTCTCAGGCATCCTCGAGCATCTCGGTGGCATGGATGTCGTTGTGACCGGCGAAGACGGCGAGACGTTTGCGTTCGACGACAGCGACCGCATCTTGCTCATCTCCAACCACCGCACCGAAATCGACTGGCTCCTCCACTGGTGCGGGCTCGCTTCGCTGCGCCCAACCTCATTTCTGCGTTAGGAACTTTGCCATGAAGATTGGTCGCCACGACCGCATCATGACCATGCTCAAGGCCGGCCTCAAGAACGTCCCGCTCATCGGGTACGCGCGACCTTGCATGTTCGGGCCTGTCTCTTACGCCAGCGTAGGTGGGCGCTCAACATTCTCAAGTTTCCGTTTGTGCAGCGCAACTGGGCTGAGGACCAGGACAGCCTCGGTCGCATCATCGACTCGTACCACGCGCGACCATGGGGCACGTGGCTGGCCATGTTCCCCGAAGGCACGGCGCTGTACGCCAAGACGTTTGCCGAGTCGCAGGCCTTTGCAAAGGCCAAGGGTCGCACGCCGTTCAACTACGTCCTCGAGCCACGCCTCAAGGGTTTTGCGCTGTGCATTGACAAGTTCCGCCCGACGTACGTCCTCGACATGACGATGGCGTACCCGGAGCTCCGGTCGGGCATTCGCCCGTCGCCGCTGCGCATGCTCTTTGGCCAGTTCCCGTCGGCCGTGCACTTCCACGTGCGCCGGTTCACGCTCGACGACGTCATGGCGGCCGAGTCGACAGACACGTGGCTATACGAGCGCTTTGCGGCCAAGGAAGAGCTTTTGAGCCAGTTTTACGCCAAGAGCACCGGGACGTTTGACAAGCCGGTCGCCACGAGTCTTCCGTCGTCGCGCCCGCTCTTCTTCAAGTCGCTTTTGGTCGTGCTCGCGGTCATTGCGAGTCTCCTGCACGCGCTGTGGTTCTGGAACTACAGCTTCACGTGGCTTGTGCTCATGATCACAATCGTGTACATCAACAAGTTCTTTTAGAGTGCTGCATTAGAGAAATATAGTCACGTCTGTTGTCCTCTCGTCCTTCACATATCAATGCATCGAACAATCGGAAAGGGAAAAGCCCAAATTCAATGCTCGAATTTGGAGATTTTAGGATTTACGGCCAACGAGAAGGAGTAGACAACACGCCATCAGAGCTGACGTCCATGATCCTGTGCTCGTGCACCAACTGCGCTGCCCTACACGCTCTGTTATCGGCTTGATTCTAATGTCGCGAATCAGTTCTTAGTCGAGTTGTGCGATGTATCGTCGACAGTGCAGGTCGGCACATGTACATGTTGTATTGCAGCAGCCGAATTAGACGCGCGGGATCCACGACATGTCGCTGGTCTTGAGCTTCTCGTAGACGTACGACTCGATACCGTTGCGCTCCTTGTCGTCCTTGCCGAGGATATATTGGATGTAGAAAAAGTAGTGGAAGAGGTTGTGCTCGGTCTCTGTGTGGCGGCCAAAGTTGTTGAGGAGACCCTTCTCCATACCCGCGACTTCAATCGCGTTGCGCGACCGGTTGCACACTAGGCAGCGGTCGCGCTTCATGGCGGCCTTTTGCTCGGACTCTTCGCGCACGGACGTGAAGGCGTCGATGATGATCCCTTGGATCATGTTGAGGAAGAGCGTGATGACAATGACGTAGAACGCCATGTCGTAGACCATGCGCTGAAAGTAGAGCTTGGGCTGGGCGTAGTCGAGGTTGTGCCCGAGCGACGACGACATGTAGTCGCCAATGCCGCCGCCCGCCAGCAACCCTAAACATCGCGCGACTTCAGACAAGGTGTCCATTCTGTTGGTGGCGCACCGTAGCGAATGTAGGACGCATAACACTCGAGCAAGGTTGAGCAGAGAGATCCGTCGTCGTCGCTCGTCATTTCGGCTTGGAGAAAGAAAAAGCCAATGAGCGAGAAGATGTAAATGACGATCGCGCCAAAGATGGCCGTGACCCCGAGCTTGCCAAAGTTGCTGCGCATCGCTTGCGCCTAGTAGATTGAATCAAATCATTTGTTGAGATATCGCAAAAGGACGTACGATGAAGCGCAGCTTTTCATTGGTCGCGAGAATGTCGACGAGCGGAAAGCCGAAAAAGACGAGGCCCCACGGACCCGTCGAGACAAGCGACGTCATCCACGGCATCGAGAGACCGACGCCGAGGAGGAAGCAAAGCGCGTAGGTGCCCATGAGCAGTACATTGTCCGTAAACGCCGTGTCGAAGAGCACGTTGAAGACAAACGTGAGCATGCTCGTCACCGTCGACGTGACGTCAGTCGCGTCTGCGTTGACGACAAACCGGATTTGGCCCGAGACGACGCGGAGCGCTGCGAAGAGGCTGTAGATGAGCCACACGAGCGCCGCAGCGACGCAGCTCTGGATGACGCCCGTGTCCATCTTGAGGTAGAACACCACGAGGAACATTGCCACGAAGAGTTCTAGACACTGCCATGAGCACAGCTTGCGGGAAGGAATCTCGTGTTGTACCAAAGTAATAGAGCGGACCGGCAAAGGCATCGAGCATCGTTTGGCGGATCGCTGCGCCCGGCAAAAGCGTGAGCTTGGTCAATGACGACACTTGCTGCTTGGCGTAGTTGAAGCAAAAGGCCGAGAAGGCGTAGTAGAGCCAGAGCGTGGTCGCCATGAGGAGCAGTACGAATCCGAGCATCGAGATAAAGTACGGCGCCTACATCACGTGTCAATATCGTGCGTGTAACGTTGAAAGTCGAACGAGTTTGGCATCATCCTTGGGCACAACGCTTGTGGGAAGACCGATGGCTGGCATGTCGTTGAGGTCGACGCTCAAGAGCATGACAAAGTTGATGTAAAAGCACAGGCGGAGCATGTTGGCGCGGACCCACGGCGCCCACTTGCTCATGGTCGAGTAAAACTGGTTCTTGCTGAGGTACTTCATCACGTTGAGTTCGTCGACCACATCCCTACACAACCATGACGTCGCCGAATTTTCTAAAAATAGAATATCGAACACATACGTGGCAGCCTCCGAGACAAGCACGTCGAGCGCTTGCTCCGTGCCAATGTCCATGGCGTCCAAGAGCCGCGTGCGGAGCTCGTCGGTGAAAAGCTTAGCGACCTTGGGCTGGAGAAAGTACACCGTGTACGTTGACCCACCGCGCGTCACCTCGACCGACACCATTTGCGCTTCAAAGTACGAGAGCGCTTCCTTCACAATCGCGTTGGCCTGAAAGTCGCGCCACTTGGCCGCAAACTCGAGCCACGCGGCGTCCGGCGCGATCGATGCGTCGAGGTGCAGCATGTTCTTGACGATGCGCAAGAGGTTGATCGCGCCCTTGTACTCGGGCATCGCGCGCATGAGTGCATCGGGCGACGTGCGCGAGAACTGCGCCATCTCGAGGAGCTTGAGCGGCGAGAAAAAGTGGTGTCGCTTCGTCCCGAGCTTTTCGTTGATGGCGCGGAAGCTGCTCGTAAAGTGCGTCATGACCTTTTGAATCGGGAACACATCAATGAGCGCCTTGTGAACGCGGGCGTCCGACCGGCCTTCGAGCAGCGCCAAGAGCAAGTCACTCGCGTGGTGCTGCAGTGTAATCTGGAGCTTCGTCGGCACCGCATCGTCAAAGGCCTCGGGCGCCTTGCGGGACGAGAGAACAATGTCGGCTGCGATCGCAACGGCGCGCGTCGAGAGGAGCTGGTCTTGGTTCTGCGCGCACGGACCTTGGCACGCCTCGCTGAGAAACATGAGCACGTCGCAGAGCATGTGCACGTTCTCGAGGTTGAGGACGCGCGGCTCGGCGGTGAGCGACGCAAGAAGATCGCAGGCGCGAAGAAGGCATGACGAGTTGCGATCGAGGTGCATGAGGCTCTGCCACTGCGCATGGTGGTTCTCGCAGAGCTGCTGCAGCACGTTCAAAATCAGCGGCGACTTGGCCACGAGATGGGACGAGAGAAAGGTGAGGAACGGACTTGGCTGGTCGCTGATCGCAAAGTACAAGGCGCTTTGCACAAACCCAAAACCACCCGCGACAAACTCGTAGAGCAGACGCAGTGTTGCGTCGCGGTGCGCTGGCTCGGCGACGAGGAGCGCGATGACGTCGGCGACTTCGGCCTTGACCGCATCGTCGTGGGACTCGCGCCACGCTTCTTTGGCGTACATGGTGAGCTTCGTGTTGCGCTCTTGCGTGTACGAGACGCGCCAGTGCTTGTTGGGCTTGGACCCGCCGAGCGATTCGACTTCGAGGCGCGGCGCCGCCAGCACGCGCGTAAGCTCCTCGATGGCATCTGTGGCATGCGGTACGTCGGCCTTGATGCGCTGGACGAGCGCGGCGAGGGCGCTGGGCGGCGGAAGGTGGAAGAGGCCACCGGACACGGGCGTACTACCGGCGATCGGTGTATAGTCTCTGCGGTCGAGCATCTCGACGCCAGACGATGCCATGGCCAAACGGAAAGTGAGCCATGCCAGTTGGTGCGCCAAGATGATATGCCAGCGAGCCAATCGGTCGCTGCAACGCAATTATTCGCATTCTATTCTTGCTATTTGTATGCTTATTAAAACCTGTCAATAAAAAGACCGCCGTCGATCATCCGGATAAAGCAAAAGGGCGCGGCAGAATTCGCTAGGATAAGACCTCAGCTGCCCACGACGAAGGCGGCTTTTAAAATGCGATACAATGCACAAGGTAAAAACCTTTCTTTAAACAAGAAGTGCTAAATCCTGCCATCTGGTGCTAGCGTATCCGGATGCGTGTCAAAAGGCGCGCCACGTGCGAAGTTGACGTGACCGCCAACGGCGGGGAGCCCATCAAGTGGACAGCGTGGTAGCTCTTATCCATTTCTATAGATTAGGACATGCTCTAGTCGTCTCTAGTCGATCAACAGACAACGTCATGACGACTGCTGAGCACACTCGTGGCTGTCAGCTTCCATGTGTATCATTCCTGGATGTGACCATTGAGTTCTTTGAATCTGGTTCGGTCTTGCTGCACTCCGACCACAAGCAAGCGAATCTCAGTGCACTCTCCAAACGCATACTGACTAGACTGCACAGATAAGCAAGGAGCGATCGAGCTCTCTCGAAATGACGATCGTAGCTATCAACACAAGTCGGCCATGGGCGCCTTCAAGGACCCGGCGGTCCATGCGGTAGCATCTGCGCTCTTGTTGCGATACAGCGTGCACCAATCAGCTCTTTGGAGCTGCCGCAATGCCCAATCGCAGTACTGTAAACCCAGCAAGAACGCGCGCCACAAGCGTATTCGTCATGTCGTTCAACAGTGGCAGCCATCCGCCGACGCTCCTGGCGCTCTCGTCATCGTCGTCGATGCGGGCATCGTACGGCACGCGCCCAAAGTCGGTCGACGACGCGGCGCCCGAGGATCCGATGCAAGCGCTCGTCGGCCGGCTCCGTCAGGTCCACACAGCACACCTCTGGGACGTTGGCAGCGATACGAGTAGCTCGGCGTCGCCGGGCGGCTGGGCCATCAACTATCTGCTTCTGGATCTCGACACGCTCATTCGTTTCTTGCGCGAGAAGCGCGACCAAGTGAATGTGGTCGAGAACGCGTCGTCTGCGCCAGCCTCATTCGTTTCTTGCGCGAGAAGCGCGACCAAGTGAATGTGGTCGAGAACGAGTCGTCTGCGCCAGCCTCGTTCTGGCGCCGGCCGTTCCAAGCAGAGGCAAAGCACAAGGCGCTCTTGTACGGCCACAAGGAGTGGCGCGACGTGCAGCGCAAGGCCGTGAAGCTGGGCGTCGCCGACCTCATCGTGAGCTTCCTCCCGCCGCTCCAGAGCCCGTCGTCCAGCTCAACACTCCAATTGCTTGACAAGAGTGCCTCGTCGTCGTCGTCTCTGCGCTCGTCGTCGTCGTCATCGACACCCCCCGCGGTGCTGCGCACAACCGAGCACAGGTCCACCGCCATCCACGAGCACATGGCCGCGATGGAGTCCAAGCTGCTGGAGCTCGCGTACGAATTCGTGGCCGGCGGGTGTCTCTATGCGCAGAACGCACTCTACGATGCGTTCCTTGACGCGCATGACCGCGTCCGCGCCTTTCTCATGATGTCGATGGCGGCGCGTCATCGCGCCTGTGACGCGCTTGTCGTGCTGCAGCAGCTCTGCGAGAACCACCACACGGCGTGGCAAGCCTTTGTGCGCGGGTCCGAGACATCGTTCTTGGCGGTGAGCATTCGGCAGCTCCGCGATGTCTACGGGCGCGACGTGCCGGTTTCCTTGGATGACACGTATCTCGTGCATGCGCTTTTTGCTTTCTTCATCGAAGCGTGTCAAGGTCCCGACGAAGAGAACCAGCTGCAACTCGCGTCGTCTAGAGCGCTCTCGCTGTTTTGCGACTTTGCCGTGCACGACGTGGTGTACCACATCGATGTACCGCTGCCGGTGCAGCGCACGCTCCAGCGGCTCGCAAGTGAGACTCTCTTGGCGGTCCTTGAAGGCGCGACGGCCGAGTGCATTCCCAACCTACTTGCGACGGCGCTCACCGCGGACCGCGTCCTCACGCGGCTTTTGGCCGACGATGCGGTCTTGAGGTCTATGGCAACGCCGACTGAGAGTGACGTGTTTGTCGCGGGCGTGGATTTGGTGCATGTCGTCTTGCGTCTCACGAACGGCCACCTTACGCCAACCGACGGCGTCGTGCTCGGAGCGTCGGCCATCGATAGCTTTCGCCTCGATTGGGACGAGCTCGAGACGAAGTGGAAGGCTGCCGGCGCCATGCGGCGGTTTCGCGCGCCAATGGTGTCGGTCGAGGTTGCGCGCCGCGGCACGTCGTTCACAGTCTTCTTCCTTCTCCCGACAACTGCATCGTTCTTTGACAAAGGTCTGCGCAAGCGGTTTCTCGACTCGATGGACCTCGGGGCCGACGATGCGCTGCAAGTGCTCACCTCGCATCATGCGCAGTACGTCGTGTGGGTCGTGTCGACTGGCTTGTTCATACTTGTGCGCTAGAGAACTGGCTCAAGAGCTGCGGGTGATGCAGTGGCTCCAGCGCCACTGGCTGTACGCTCGCCTCGGATCCTGGAATTGGCGCCTCCGGCAGCTCATGCTGTACTTGTCCGGCTACATCAACTTTGTGCTCGTGCTCACGCTCCAGTACCCGTCGACAGCGCCGACGTCCAGCAACGTTGCCGCCAAAACCGCCGCGGTACCGTACGCCCTTGGACGGACGTGTTGTTGCTATAACGGGTGTGTTGTCTAGATGGACCTCATTCTTTGTGTTTTGGGCGTCGGGCTCGTTGTGCTTACGTCCCTTCTCTGGGCATTCCACTGGGTCCAAACGCTTTGCTTTAGCTACGCCAAGCACCACATCACGCTCGCCAAGCTCCAGCTGTGTTCGTCGCAGGTCATTACGGACCGTGTGTGGCGTGCGTTTCGCCACGTCATTTTCCTACTGCGTACACAACGCACGATACTGCTGGCTCGTCTCATGCTTGAATTGCGGTAGAGCTCTTTGCATCGACGTTTTCCATCATTGTCTTTTTGTACTCAGCCGACGATCGTGCGACCCAAGTGCTCGGCTGCGGCGCTTGCCTCGAGACCACGAGGTCCTTCTTTGCCGCGGTGCGCACGGCGACGGGCATGCACCGTACGCTCGTGGCCGACACTGGCACGTACCGCGAGATGTGCGGTCCCCGCAGCGTGCTCGCGTCCAATCTCATGTTTTGGTACTGCGTTCTGTACGACACGTTTTTCGCAGGTCCTGTGTTGCTCTTTGGCGCGTACACGCTCTGCGCGGTGCTGGCGCTGCAGCCATTTTCATGGGCCTACCTCTTTTACGGATTTCCGCTTCTCGACATTCTCGAAACCAACTCGCGGCTCAACTTTATCGTACGTTTTTACAAGTTGCAGAGCTGGTGGCAAAATGGTGAGTACTAGGCCACAGCCATGCGCACCAACCTCGGCAAGCTCGGTGTCACGGCCGTCTTTGGCGCAATCGTCATGTACATTTTCTCGCTCGTTGGGTTTTTCCTCCTCCAAGACGAAATGACGAGCGACGACCAAGTTGCGCATTGCTCGACTTTCTTGAGTGCTACACGACGACGATTCGCTACGGTGCGCTCTGGGCGCGCCACGTCATTTTTCAAAATGTAACCGTCGTAGGTCTGCTCTCGGGCGGTGGGCTTGGCGACTACATCTCGTCGACGCTCAACCACGAGCTCGAGTACGACAAGCCGGCGCGGTACTTTGAGCGGATGGTCTTTGACATGGCGTTTTTCATCATTGTCATCACGCTTTTCCTCAACATGATCCAAGGGATCATCATCGACGCCTTTACGTCCGTGCGCGAAGCGTCCGAGCAAAAGATTACGATCAAGCGCGAGCGCTGCCTCGTGTGCAACCGGTCGCGCAACGCGATTGAGGTCGCGGGTATGGAGAAGGGTCTCCTCAACAACTTTGGCCGCCACACAGAGACCGAGCACAATCTCTTCCACTACTTTTTCTACATCCAATATGTCCTCGGTAAGGACGACAAGGAGCGCAACGGTATCGAGTCGTACGTCTACGAGAAGCTCGAGACCAGCGACATGTCGTGGATCCCGCGCGTCTAATTTCATTAACGTTAAGATATTCGAAGTTGCAGGATACTGGAGGATCCAATCTGCATTTTGAAGTCTATACTGTAGTAGAAGTTGACCACGAAGTGAGCCAGGTTTGACTCGGCATTCCTCTCTGTTGGTCCCTCGTGCCACGTCCACCTGCTCGTATCGGTATATGTTCTACGTACACGCTCTTCTACAAAACAGTTCAGTGTAAATTATATCTAAATAGACTCACTTCAACAACAACACGCTCTTCTACATGCACGGGCCACGCGCAGCTATCACCAAAGTGGGTTCGAGGAGCTCAAGAGAGCACGGCTACTTTCGAGCCCCTCCACCCATGCGCTTTTTCAAAGCAGAGGATGGAATAGATTCATATTCATTGAACTAGTCGGTGGGCGGTCACGCGCGCTTGCCGGATACATGGGATGTGGTAATGCGCAAATGGGTTCTGGGAGCACAAAGGCAAGACCGGTTTTACAACATTCGGCAAGCAGCAACTTACCGTTCCTCATAACCCACTTGAGGTCCCTCATTCGCACGGCGGTTTACCCTTCTTGCGATCAGGAGGCACGGTGTGTCGTGTCAACCCGTCATGCTCCCACACTACCGCCAATGGACGGCATCGTTCTGCTAACGCCTCGCGGTATTTGGCGTCGGTTGCGATAACGCTAAACGACAGGTTGTCCACATTGCATTGATTGATTTCCGAGTTTGGATCACGATCGAACATTTTTTGCGGTTTAAAATCTCACCGTCCTCGCTTCCTTTCCCCACTCAGAGGCGCGCGTGGCCAAGATCGCCATGACACGGAGAAATCCTGGCTTTTGATTCGCTCCCAGATGCGTATGTCCCACGTTCCCACGACTTCCGAGCGCTACCGCATGTTGGAACACGTGGTATACGCCAAGGCCGCAACCACCGGCCGTCTACACAGTACACGGCTCTTGCTATTTCGTCAACGTTATCGTTATCGCTCATTTCCCAATCGACCATGTCCACTGCACCCGCCGCGACGCCTTCGCTGACGCAAGCACCGCTCCCGTCCATCCACGGCCCCGTCGCATGGGTCCAGCGCAACGGCGTGGCGATCGGCGTCGCCATCATTGCAATTATCGGCTTTGGCCTTGGCTTTGGCCTCGACGCCAATGACAACGTGCCCGCGCCGTACAACCGCGTCTCGTCCATCATCGGCTGGACCTACTTTGCGTGCTGGAGCGTGAGTTTCTGGCCGCAGATCTTCCTCAACTGGCGCCTCAAGAACGTCGAAGGTCTCTCGATCGACTTTATCGCGTACAACATTGTCGGCTTCTCGTGCTACACAGTGTACAACTCGTCGTTCTACTGGAGCGAGTCGGTCCAGGACGAGTACAAGGCGCTCCACAACGGGTCGCCCAACTCGGTGCAGGTCAACGACGTCTTCTTTGGCATCCACGCGGTCGCGGTGACCGCGCTCACGTACTACCAGACGACCATCTACCCGCGTGGCGAGCGCAAGGTCTCGACCGTGTGCAAGAGTCTGATTGCGCTCGCGCTCACGATCATCGCGGCGTTCCTCATCATCCACCTCGCGTCGCCGTCGAGCTCGTTCTTCACGAAGCTCAACTTCCTCTACCTCCTCAGCTACGTCAAGCTCGCCATCTCGCTCGTCAAGTACATTCCGCAGGTGTACCTCAACTACAAGCGCCAGTCGACGATCGGCTGGACCATCTACAACGTGCTGCTCGACTTTTCCGGCGGTCTCCTCTCGATCGTGCAGCTGCTCATGGACGGCGCGTCGACGCACGACTGGTCCTCGGTTACGGGCAACCCGGTCAAGTTTGCGCTGGGCTTTGCGAGCATGTTCTTTGACGTGATCTTCATGACGCAGCACTACATTCTGTACCGCCACTCCAACTCGGCCGACCAACTCGACGTCAAGGCCGACCACGCCAACTCGCCCTTCCTCAAGGTCTAAGACCAGGAATT